TATAGAATGTGATTTCGGGTGTTATGTTCTAGTGGACCAATAGTGATTTTTTTAATGTTGTACGCGGATGTCGGATAGACTCATCTTTCAGGGGTGTTTTTAAGAGATAGACAGGGAACAAGTTAGTTTCACTATTGGTTCACTAGAACATAACACTTAACTTAAGAACGCGAAATCCCAGACCCGGGCGTTCTTAAATGATGAAGGATGGAAGGTGTCAGGATATTCTTAAGCAGTGCTTTTGATGACATATATCTGATTTACGCGATTTCGAAACAACCTGAACCTAGTTATCTTACTATATCACGTTATTCGTTTTTTATTAAACCTTAGGATATAAATTACATCGTCATGCAAGCTATAAACATTTCATGTATATACCTTTGAATATTTCATTGTCTTTATAATTAATTTCCCATTGGGTGCTGGCTCCAGACGTGACGAGGGGCCTGCTTTTCGGAATGTTGGGATATAAGCATCATCCTACACTTTGAAGATAAAGTAATTCGGTATTTTGTTCTGGGCACTGTTTTTGTGATATAGATCGAGGATGCAAATTATCAACATTCCACACTACACAATCGTGGCCTTATTGTTCTGATTTTCCCATGACCATCAGCTACCAAAATAGCCATCGAATGGTCGGGGAAGGTGTCAGCCGTGCCAGATGCTAAAAGATGTGTGTTGGATACATTCAACAACAGAAAACCTTTGAACACCTCAAATTATTAATAGTTGAAATTGACAACGCAAATAAAATATGTTGAAAATTTCCTCAAATTGCTCCATCCGAACCGAGATATTAGCTTTTGAATTTTAGGCTAGCCTCGATCATCATTACTCAAGTCGGTAAATTAAAAACAAAGTCTCGATTATCATGTACAGTGTCAAAATATTATATCAAACCTTGTCCGAAGAACCCCTATATATTGGGTCGCCTTTCGATAAAATGTACGCTTTGTGTCAATGCCATGAAGTACTTTTAAGTAATAATACTTGACCCGTTTCTATTGAGTTGTTTAGCCGATCAGTAGGACCTTAAACCCCATTTCGTTTCATTTAATTTGTTTAGCAAAGGTAACCAGTGATAATAACTTGTTGAGACCACCACATAACAGAATAGGACGAATCAATCCATTTTGTGTCAATCCATTTTATTGCCAACCCTTTCATAATATTATTTGAATAAAATAACCCGCACGGTGTGTTAATCAGTTTAGATTATATTCCAGTTCAATAAAACATATAATACAAATGTCTTGGCTTTATTCATTATTTACAATTTATTATGTTATTCGTGTATTTTTATACGCCCACATTTGTTAAATAATACAATTCAAAAGATCAAAACTTTTCGATTGTATATATTCAATATTACAAGCAGACCTAAATGTATTTTTCAAATAGGTGTATATATACATAGGCTGATAGCAGACCATTGGGTTTACGTTAGCTGGGGTAAAATACTGAAACAAAATGATTCTTGCTTTTTATGAAAGTTCTTGTGTAAAGAAGTTACAGGCGTTCTGGTTTTCGTACCCATTCGACTTATAAAATCGATTTTTTTCTAACTTTTCATCACTTTTTTCGGCATTCTGAGAATATAATTGTGCATCACAAATGCTTTTCCGCTAGAGGTCGGGTGTTCGATCCCTGCATTGGCCGAGAATGTTTATCCAAACTTTCCGGCGTGGTTGTCAGTGATGCAGGACGGAGGGTATCAAACGTGACAACTGTCAGATGTTTTCAGTGGTGGTGTAAATTCGCCAGGCGCCCCACTAGCTCATTTACTAACCGAGGTCACGATAGCTAAGTGGGTAAGACGCTGGCTCGCTAGCCTGGAGGTCGGGTGTTCGATCCATGCATTGGCCGAGAAAGTTTATCCAGACTTTCCGGCGTGGTTCCCCGTTGTCAGTGATGCAGGACGGAAGGCTTGACAAAGACAGCTGTCTGGTCGTTCGGATGGGACGAAAAACCTAGGGGTGCCAATCAGACGAGTATGGTGGATATTAATAGTTGCGCTAATAATATTGTTTGAACATCATGGTGTTGAGTGTGTATACGGTTACTTATAATTTCATTAAACATTTAGAGTGCGTAAAGGCGGAATTACAAATATCACTCATTTTGAGGTCGGATACTAAAAGTAAATCGTCCATAAAAAAATTGTCAATGGTAACACAGTCCAAATGAAGTTAGATTGTGAAAACATTCAATCTGTGATAAATATGCACTATGATTCTCTGTACACCCTAAAATTATTTTACTAGAACGCGTGATAACGTATTATTCGGAATCTGTTCATAAAAATTGCCAAATTATTTATGCTGTATTGATAGATGGTAAATGTGGACCGCCATGCAGTTAGGCTGATGTCCCCCGCCGAAGTAAATAAAAACAAACAACAGATGACACATATTGATTAATTGCACATTTATCTTTTTCAAAAGTAGCGAGTAATCAAACTGATTATCTATGGACCATGTGAAGTGACCATAAAAGATAAAGTTGATGTTTTTCTCGACACAATATTGCATACCAGGCTAATAATTGTTAGATAGTTACCTGCTACACATGACATAAATGGTGCTCCGAGGTGTCTGGCCCAGAACAATGCCCAAGCCCCCCCCCCCCCAAGTAGCAGTCAGCCCTATATACACGTGACTGTGGCTTTAATATCCTCCTTCGCTCAGTCAGCATATTAACCAGATCTAGCTCCCTCTATACAAATGTGTCCTCGGCGACCTCAGAATCGAAACAATGATGAAGTCGTCACTGTTGTGGAAGAGATTTTAGGGTCAATTGACAATCTGTGGAAAGGTGGAGAAATAGTTGGACCAGTTCATGCTACTTAGGTCGGCAACTTTTGGGACACCCTTTGTAATAGAATAGTCGGATCTATACAATTACAATTCTATTTCAATATCAGAATGACATGCGAATTCGGTTATATTTTAATATTGGCTTTTTCTATAAAACTAAAGCTTTCAACGAAGAGCGATTGGCGTCCATAAAACATATTAACACATAAACATTTTCTTTCTTGTTTTAGTCACGATATCGGGAGGCGGTAATCACCAAGGACTTTTACTTCAAGCTAGGCAATCTGGTTCAACAACACCAATTGGAACGTTTAGTACTCCATCGGTCAACACCAAAACAATCCAATGTACTGCTGCTGGGGATTCATGGACCCATTCCTCTCAGACAGACAAACCAACATCAACTGTAATATGGACAGCACCATCTACTGATATGGGGCAGATTACTTTCATGTAAGGAAATACCAATGTTTATACAAATTCTAATGGGAACTAACACTGTATTCATCATAGGTTATACATAACATTGAATGTGGTACATAAATATTATGTGAAAAATGGCCTGTTCCATGTTAATTCTCTGGTTATATTTCAGGGCTACTATTGCAGAGAGAAAAACTACCTACTGGTTAAACCACGAATCCCAAGCACTAGCTTTTATGTCTGGGGCTACCAGTAAGTATGGATGTATAAATGTTGATATTTTACAAGACTACTTAATGTTTAAGAAAAAATGAGAGAGAAAGGATGGATGGGGAAACAAACAGGTCATCCAGGCACTATACCATAATGCTATTTCAGTAATTCGCTTGTGCTTAGAGGTTGATGGGAATATAAATGTATAAGTTTAATAATACCAATAATAGAAGTATAGCGTGAATGTCTGTATTATATTATTTAATATGATAGTTTCCCCTCCATAGCAAAGGATAGGACGCCAGGCAACGAATTATACCCCAAGGTTTTCTTGAAATTATGCATTAACTACTCTGAGGTGACCATAGCAAAATCAGTTGCAGTAGCTTTGTACCCCACACATGACATGGATAGGGACAAAACACTGTTAATTACTAAATACGGTTCCATATTAATCGCAGAATCGCAGCAGTGTTGAACCAGAATATTATGTAGACCATATTATGTATATCTTTATTATCCCAATTATGAAAGAAACCCACAAAGGCTCTATGAGTAGAGGCGGTTGGATGGCCGAATGGTGTGTACGTGCGCGCTACATCATAAGGTCTGTCATTGAGTCAACTGGCGTGGTTTCGATTCACCGGTTGTACGTGACAAGGAGTAGGGTCGCCTGTCCATCCTCGTGGGTTTTCTCCGGGTCCTCCGGTTTCCTCCCACTGCAAAACACCCCTACTCGCAAGCGAATTATTGAAATAATATTGAACTATGTGTTAGTCCGGAAATGGTCGCCTGTCCAACCTCGTGGGTTTTCTCCGGGTCCTCCGGTTTCTTCCCACTGCTAAAAACCCCTCCGCGCAAGCGAATTATTGAAATAAAATCGAACTATGTGTTGGTTGGTCTCTCTCTCTCTCTCTCTCGTAAACATATTTTTGCTGATTCTTCAAATAAATAAAATGATATGGGGTTTAACGTTCTACTGTTCTGCTCCTAACCTGGGCTAATGAACACGGCCATACACCATACCGTGTGCTATGAGGGAAATTTTGCCTGGGCAGCGGCGCTACGGCCTACTCTTATATCGAATTCCAACTGCCAAGGGATCTTTTACGTGCACGCCAATGTGTAAACGGGACCTCGGTTTTTCGTCGCAACCAAACTACTAGACAGCTGTCCTTGTCAGGTCCTCCATCCTGCATCACTGACAAGGAGAAACCACGCCAGGAAATCTGAATGAACTTTCTTGGCCAATGCAGGGATCGAACACCCGACCTCCAGGCTAGCGAGCCAGCGTCTTACCCTCTTAGCATCCCCCTCTTCAGATAAAACAAACGGAATAAAATACTGGTGCGTATCTCTTGGAAAACAAGTCAAAATTCGTTTACATCGACACGGATATTATTCATTCAATGAAATAATAATACTTTTAATGAGTTTCATACAAAGTTCGGCAACTGTATACGAATATTTGTGTAACAAACGCTAATTCAGATAATTACTTAAATGTTTACTTTACGAAACTTATGAACATAGCATTTATCAAATGTCCCAACAACAACTCCCGGTAGTGGTAGTTCAGGTAAGTCTTATTCATGTGGACGTACATTGACGTCGCCCATGTCCGTCCGTCCACAATTTGTTTGTGGACACTCCACGGGTCACAATTTTAATCCCACCTTGACGAAACTTGACATATATCTTTATATCCCAAAGATCCCAGTCCCTGTCAATTTTCTGGATTTAGACCCTGATTGTACGAAAAATCGCTTTTGTTTGTAAGCTTGTTCTCCACCCATCTCTTGCAAAATTCATTTCTTGCCTGGCAACCGCTGGTTCAGTTTTTTTTATGAAGAAAATATGCATTTTTGATGGAAACAATTGTGTTGATGATACAACCATAGTCATAGAAAACGGAAAAATTAAAACATCCGAATATATCTTATCTGACTAAATATGAATGTATTACGCCCTTACATCCTCCATCCAAGGTTGGACAACAAGGGTTGAAATCACTCTTAAAATCGGAATAATGATTTTATTTTCTTGTTCTTTCAGGTATCCAACTTGGGATTGCTTCAGTTTTAGCTGTCGTCATCGCCGCCATTTATTTGTTATAAAATTATACAGTTGTTTTTAATCAGAACCAAACCCACCTTCGTCGCTACATTGTTTCTTTAAAGCCGTACCACGAAGCATACAATATTTCATCACATACGGATGGTTTTCTCAAATGCACTCCATTCCATTAGGTGGACCTTTCGCTTTTGGTCAAATTGAAAATGATCAGCTAAGTTATTTTCTGTACTTAGTTCGACCACTAAAAAATGGTTATACTGTAAATACTGACTTTTTTGGAGTATTCATATCCTTTTCTATAATACGGGAACAATGTAATAACTGTTCAAATTTACCATTACTATTTTGCCATTAATTTATTCAACCTGGCATACCATCTATAAGTATACACCTTCCAGGCTTCACTATTTGGGTATTATTTGTGAATTTACCTACACCTTTTGTGCCTATATATTACAGATATTTATTTTGAGATGAAATGGGGAGTAAGATTCTACTTTCCTGCACTGATCGAGCTAATGAAGGTCTTATGTCTCTCTTTGTCTATTCAAGAAATCTATAGGAGACATTCCAACTCCGTTTGTCTATACTGATAGCCACATGAGCCTGCATGAATAGCTGTGCCTTAGAAGAGAACATATTTGTTCGATGTTTCTTGATTTACTTGTACAAAGTTTTATCCAAGAAATATCCCAAATAATTTATGATAAGAAAAATAATCCTAAATTTTTCTTTGAACCGAAAGTCTGTAAGTTTGATCACATTTGTGGATGGTGCCGTGTAAATTATATACTAATTCGATTTTTTCTAAATTGATTTCATTACAAGCACGTGTTGTTGTATTTTACTGTTGTCAATAAAAAGAAAATAATAATCTAATTCAATTATTTTAGTAATATATAAATACCTTAAAATACATTAAAAAAACCAACACAATTTATGTGATTGTTTTCCATATAAATGGTGCTTTTTTAAAAATATAAATAGCTCCGGGGGATGTTTAAAGCCCCGCTTATGTCGCCTTTTTCATTCAACTCTCTGACTTGCATCAAACTCAAACAGTCACCTTCCTTCACATCACAAGGGCGATATCATTAGCACTCCTCAAGTATTATCAGATTGTTATAATATTTTTAACTAGACATTACATAAAATATATATCATGGAAATTATTATATTTAATTGTGATACGTTAAATTGTAAATTAGCATATTTTAACGCAAAAATGTCTCATTAAAGACCCAGTCACACTTTCCCGGTATTTGGCCCCGGTGGCGCTACGGTCAGCAAACCGGGGTCAGTTGTGGGCTCTGTTGCGAGGTCGTATTGAAACCCGGGAGATCCGGGACCAGCATAGGTCGAAAAGGGGAATGAAGATATCATGTTATCAAATACGCGTAGATCGACAGCAACCTATCAGTTGCTTTACTTCCAGTCGCCGTGTCCATGTACGCCGGGACTTCAGGGTGTGGAATGTATTTACACAATACAACAAAAAAAAAAAAAAAAATGATCGTTTTTTTTCTGGATTTAATCATAATAGTAATTATAAATACTATATATATATATAGTTTATCATTAAACAACGAAATATCATCGCTATTACGGTCGTGGTAGATATTGCTGTACCTGAAAAGTAATTATTAAGCAAAATTAATCGTATGTATAATCTTGTGATCAAAAATGTAAAACTATGTGACGCAAAGCTACTATTAATGTCACCATTGACTTCATGCCATATCCTGGCCACCATAAATTTATTCGAATCGCCATACTTTAACCTAATATGTTAATATTATCTTATCAAAAATTTAATAGTATTTCCCAAATGGACGGCTGTTTAACCCGTGATCTTTATCCCTAAAATTCAATATCAATCATCAAGGCCTCACACGAATTCAAAAGTATATCTTTATTAACTCTAGAGCAAAAATGGGCAATCAAAAGGGAAGAAAAAAAATGAAAAATTATTTATCTATAATTCGCGGTATAGTTAGTAGAAAGACTCCCGAGATTTAGAAGCAGACAACATTTGATTGCCCATTGACTTTAATGTTAATTCTGCTCTCTTTGACCTGATCCATGTTTTCTCAAAGTATGAGGTTGTCCACAGAGGTTTTGTGATACACAAACATGAAGTAAAATACTATAACTATGTAATTACGGCCCGGTATCCCAACCCTTAATTTTGTTATCCTTCCGCCACTAAAGCCATAAACATTTGCCAGCACGTGACACAGCAAATACTATAACTATGTATTTATGGCCCCGTATCCCAACCCTTAATTTTGTTATCCTTCCGTCACTAAAGCCATAAACATTTGCCAGAGCGTGACACAGCAAATGATAGTTTAAGCATTTTCCTTCGATTCTAGACGGAAAAGTTAACAAAAATATGAGCCGAAAAGGGAGAATTGCTATATATAGACGCACTACAATTTGTGGTCTACATCCAGTTATAATCGCTAGTTACCTCCCTTAGCATGAGTGGGTTTTATTTTTCGGAGGACTGTTTAGAAGACTGTTTTTTTGTGGGTTGAAATATCTATTAATAGCAATCTTCTAAGGCCTTGAAATCTGAACTAACTCACCCCACCATCATATACATACCTGTACTTCCCGATGCTGCTGTCAGTACATCACTTCTTATATTTAACCAGTAGATGTCATGTCCTCTTGCCACGGTTGCCCTGCCATTTATGAATAATATCCTTTCAGTTTTGGAACCATAATATTGGCTATTTGAGGTGGAGAAATGGGACGAGGTGTGGCGTCTCGGCTACATATTCCATCAGTCATGGAGATAAATGTATGATATATTTATTTTTTATTTCTACAGTTATGTGTACAATTTGAGGTTGGAGGATATCACCCAGGTGCACCGCGATCATGATGAATTTTATTTTTACTATACGGCATTTGGAAACATTCAACAATCCAAGTTTGAGCTACTAGTACTACACCATTCATTATTTTAGTCGATCGGCCAATGCCTAGAGTCAACAGACTATTTAAAATTTTAATGTTGAGATAAACTGACTTTGTGTTCAACAGTCGATATATTTAAAGCAAAGACAAAACAAATATTAGTAAACATAAACTTCATAACATAAGCTTAATCGAAATACGAATTTAATAGTGCAGAGCTTGCCCAATCACTATTCAAAATAAACAACCTGTTCCGCCCCCTCTATAATGGAGGGGGTCGGTATGTCAAAGTGACCGGAAATGGTGTTATTGGAGTGTATGCTGATGTTTTTAGCTAATGCACACATTTAGCAGGACTGAAATGTGCCCCCAACCAACGTAAGACATTAACTTCTTTAGGGTCACCCGGGACTGCCATACCCACGTGCCCGTTCTCAGTCTAGCCCTGACGTGGTTTTCCCCTTGTCAGTGGTGCAGGACGGAGAGCCTGACAAGGACAGATGTCTAGTCGTTAGGATGGGACGAAAAACCGAGGATATAAGAGTAGGCGATACTGGCGCTGCCCGGGTAAAATTTCCCCCATAGAACACTGTATGGCGTATACCCTTCTTCATTAGCCCAGTATAGGAGCAGAACAGTAGGACGTTAAACCCCATTTTATTTCATTTCCCTGAATAAAGACAACTATGACAACGTTATTTTGACAGTCATCTTAAAAATTGAATTCCTTTAAAACGTAATGAATTGAAACAACTTACAAGAATGTGATATCTCCAACGTCACCCGATGGTGGGTTCCACAAAACACTGGAGTCGTTCTTTACGTTGTTGTTAGCGTGAGTCCACGAGTCATCTTTGGCACTACATTGAAATATTTTAGTGTCTGTTGGTGGTCCACTAAAGGTACCTATAGGTGTTGTTCCACCAGATGTTCTTGCTTGTAATAGAAAGCCTTGAAATGATCCGGATATCGTCACTGAAAAGCAGAATGATTTCATAAAAAGGTTATTTTGAGATTTAATGGAAGAATTATGCCCTTGACGCAACTGAATTCGAACAAAATTTTTCCTCATCACGTGTAGTGATGGATTTTGCGAATTTCTCGAGATGATCTTATTACATAAACGAATAATCTTTAAATGGCATTTAGTAACTAGTAAAAACAAAAACTCATACTTATGGAAAACAGCTACTATTGTATTTTAAGGTGACGTTTCGAAGAGTATACTCTCAACGTTATAAGGCTAATACAGCAATTCGTTTTTGAGGTTTAACGTCCACTTCCACCAAGGGTGATATCAGAGACAGCAATATAGATATGCAAATATATAGACAAACTGTAACAACATAACAGCAACAAGATTAAACGTCTATGACACAGCAGTTAAAGTGTACAATGAGAAGATAAGGGGTTAATTAACTAGATGATACATGGACACTGAGGACAAGGTATACAACACAAATATAAACCATACCTAACAACAAATAGATCAAATGAAATGGGGTTTAACCTGCTACTGCCAAAATTCACCACCAAATTTATTGACTAAATGGAAAGCTCTGAATAATGTTGCTCTTAATGTGACACGCGTATCCTCCATACGCCAGAGAAAAGGGTTTAAGTTTGATAATTTTAGAAAAGTTTTTATATCTAGATTGATTCAGGCAACCCGTACAACAAAAGGTACAATTTTATGGCTACACAAGTATTGAGTTTGATACTACGGGACGCTTCGAGGAGGATACTCACGCCTTTATCACGCAAGTGATACAGTTATGTAAATAGTAGACAAATATACATAATATTCAACAAAAAATACAATTAAAATATAACACCTTTGATTAGAGGGCCATTTACAACTAAACCAACATAGTGGACACCCTTGTATGTAATTTGCTTGATAAAGACGAGATAATCATTGTCGAAACATCTCAGTAATTGTATCCTGTGTTGATATGTTCAATTAAAACCTAATAGGTGTATTCCCTCGAAGGCGCAGTTACAGAGCGTGACCAAAATTAATCCTTCCCACGAAGGCGCAGATATCGACTTGCCGGCTTTCGTTTGAAAAGAGGCATGTTGCTATTAGGACCCAATTAACGGTGTTATAGATTTTATGTTCCCTCTGAATTTTATTCACCAATTGGCAACTAATGATTAAAATTATCCAAGTGTTCAATATGAATCTTAATTTGGAGACGAACACAGAATGTAGGTCTACAAGTGCAATATACTAGAGAAGATGAAGAAATACAGGTGGTACGGAGAGAGAGAGAGAAATGGGGTTTAACGTCCACTCGACACAAACTAGGTCATTTCGGGACTAACATATGGTTTAATTTTATTTCAATAATTCGCCTGCGCGTAGGGGTCTTTAGCAGTGGGAGGAAACCAGAGGACCCGGAGAAAACCCACGAGGTTGGACAGGCGACCCTACCCCTTGTCACGTACAACCGGGGATTCGAAACCACGCCAGTCGATTCAATGACAGACTTTATGATAAAGCGCGCGCACGCTAACCATTCAGCCATCCAACCCCCCAAGGTGGTACGGAGGTTTGCAGCTCTACCGTTGGTACCAGTAGAAAGGGTAGGTGTATTATATTATGTCTTGCTGTATTGGCCTTCGACTTCTCGAGGGTTAATTTGCAACTCATCAGTGGGACTACTACGACACAGAGGAGCACAGAACCAACAAGACTCTGGAAGGACGACATGCAAGAATCAAGAAGCTACTTGGAAAAGCCCATCCGAATGTTTTTGAAATGATCACATTTTTACAACAAGAACAAAATATTAATGAGATTAGAATCGTTCGGTATGCCGGGGGACAGGAACCACCAAGGAAGAGATATAAATATGCTCAAATCCAAAGCCAACTCCGGGAATTAAATGGAAGACACGAGGAAGAGGAATTGACTTTAGTCGATTATTTAGACAGGGTGTCTTATT